GACCAAAATGCTGGCTTGCATCCATAGATGCTTCTCAAGCAAATCCCGGGACGTCATTCTCCCCCTGTACTCGGCCTTAGTGAGGCCGCAGCTGGAGTACTGTGTCCAGTTTTGGGCTCCACAATTCAAAAAGGATGTGGAGAAGCTTGAGAGAGTCCAGAGAAGAGCCACGCGCATGATCAGAGGTCAGGGAAGCAGACCCTACGATGACAGGCTGAGAGCCCTGGGGCTCTTTAGCCTGAAAAAGCGCAGGCTCAGGGGTGATCTGATGGCCACCTACAAGTTTATCAGGGGTGACCACCAGCATCTGGGGGAACGTTTGTTCACCAGAGCGCCCCAAGGGATGACAAGGTCAAATGGTCACAAACAACTTCAAGATCGTTTCAGGCTGGACATAAGGAAGAATTTCTTTACTGTCCGAGCCCCCAAGGTCTGGAACAGCCTGCCACCGGAGGTGGTTCAAGCGCCTTCATTGAACACCTTCAAGATGAAACTGGATGCTTACCTTGCTGGGATCCTATGACCCCAGCTGACTTCCTGCCCTTGGGCAGGGGGCTGGACTCGATGATCTTCCGAGGTCCCTTCCAGCCCTAATGTCTATGAAATCTATGAAACAGGCAAAGATGTATTAATATAATTACAGCTGTCAAAACTTCAAAATCAATGTAGGAAAGTAATTATATCAATATGTTTAACTGCTGTTAAATATTGATATTTTAAGTGTAACTAACACGATATGATAACTTGGTTGGGTAACTGCTTCCTGATCCCATTTAGTATTAATTTCAAACTCTGAAGCTTGACCAGACTGATTTCCTTTGCTAACCTGTGAAACTTTCTCTTTCACTTCCTGAAGTAGTTTTCCTAATGTTATGTGTTTGATAATAGTGTTTAATATACCGTAAACTCCTTTGCCACAATAAAGCAATATACTGCAACATGGCTTAACATTACATGATGTGATGTTTTGACATATCGGCTTCACACCAGACCAAGAAAAGCCATATCATTCATGATTACTGAAGAGAAAATTATCCATGCCCATTACCCGGTAGAAAATTAGCAACACATGCTTGCCAGAATAAGTTTGCTTTGCTGTGCATAATAATTGTCTAAATGTTTGTCTGATGTAACAGCTTTAATTCTTGTACAATCATAATTTATATTCCAACAGAGATAATCAATAATGTTAAACAGAAAATCTAAAAAGAGAAATATGTGCTAATTGAAAAGATTCTTTTCTTCAGAGATGGAAGCAGACTTTAAAATGGAATTAAAAGAGGGGTACCACAACCGTATATGAGAAACATAATGAAAATGATTTAAAAAAACAAACTACCAAATAAAAGAGGGAAACACAACAAGAGCTGTTTGGGAAGAAAACCTTTGGGTGACATTTTATAATACAGTAAGAATATCTGGATATCTGGAATTTTTCTGTGGATGTTATTGGAAGGTGACACCAATTGACATACGGAAAAGAAAAGATGTTGCTACAAGAACATCTGGAGGGTGTTTGAGAAACATTGTCATACATAGCTCTGTGAGAATATGCCTCAAAAATGTTTGAAATCGTGTTCTCCTAATAAAAACATCTAAAGAGTTTTTTGTTAAGTCCTTTGTGAAGCTGTTACTTCTGCATTCCCCCTAGCTGATATAGCCATGGGCACTATAGTTTAATTAGCTTTGATTTTTGTGTATGAATTTAGTGCTTTTGAAAGATGATGGATTGACAGCTCTGGAAATCCTCTATCTATCCCCAATACAGTCAAAGAAATGAATAATACCACATGCCTCTCTGACAACCACCACCATATAATGTGTGTGCTAACTGTGGAGTGGTGACTGCAGAGACAAACCCTTGCAACATTGATCATTTTGAGGCAAAAGCACCATCACTGCTGTTTTCTTTGTTCTTTTTTTTTTTTTTTAAGGTTATAAGCAAAAACAAATGGTTCCCCTGAGCCAAACGGGCTTCACCGGATCAGAGCCAGGCAGTGTAATGACTTTTCTTTTTTAAAGAATACCAACTTGGTATGCAAAAGAACAAGCAGGTCAACACCAAAAAAAATGTATTGGAACTTACTATAGGTAAGCTCAGTAATAGGTCCCCCAAACCAACATAGGTTGAGCAGAGTAAAGCTGGAGACAGTTTCTGTGGGGAGCTCATTATCTGAATACAGCAACGAAGGAACATGCCAAAAGGTTCTAAGGACTCAAGACAGCAATTAGCTGTGCAAGACTACAGACATATGGATTTTAAGGCCAGAAAGGACAATTATAATAATCTACTCTGAACTCCTGTATCCCACAGACAATCACTGAACCTCACCCAGAAATCCTGTCTCAGACCTATATTTTTTATTTTGCTTTCAGCATCTTTTTAAAAAAAGTATCCAAGGACTTCAGGTGAGAAAAAATTTATCATAGCTCTAGCTAAACTGTCCAAAAGGGCAAACACTCTCGCTGTTAAACACTTCTCTTCATTTCTAGTCTGCATTTCTCTAGCTTTAGTCCCCTACCACTAGCTCTTCTTATGCCATTATCTGCTTGATTAAGGAGCCATCGGATTGCAGCTATCAAAACAGTTTTCTGATCAAGTTACTTCTTAATTTTTCCTTGGATAAACTAACTGGCTTCTCAAGTTTTAAGCCTCTTCAGTCTTTTACAGAACTTGATTCTTAGCTTTTTTCTGGCTGACATCCATGTAGTCAATATCCTTTTTGAATTGTGGATGCTAAAACTGGGCACTCCAGTAAGCCACCATACTAATGCTGTGGACAGAGGTCATGCCACCTCTCTGCCTGATGCAAAGACTGCACTCACCCAGTCTAAGCCATAATGGCACAGTGGGTGCTCATGTTTAACAGGGGTCCTTTATTAGTAAGGCAGAACATAGCTCCTTATCTGGTAAATGCCACCTACTTCCTTTGTTCCTAGATGGTTTTGCAAAGGCTGTATTTTAAAAAACCCTGTTGCTGAAGCCCAACCTCCAGTGAGAAAATAAGTTTCATGCATTTACTTGAATTCTGCACATGTCCAAACCTAGCAATTAGGCAGGGGAGATGGCTTCTCTGGTCCTGAGCCCTTACTGTTTTTTCTGCTCTCAGGCTTTCTGCCTTGGGAGACCCTAAGATCAGCAATGATGATGGTGAGCCATGTTCTCAGCTCAGGTAATTATTATAGCTCTACTGAAGTCAGTGTCACTATGGCAGTTTACTGTATCTGAACCTAGGGTTCAATGTCTTTGAGAAATAAACTTTCCATAAGATATATTTTGGAGCTTTTTAGGGTCCGTCCCCCCACCAAAGAGGATGACAGAATGAATGATCTGGTCAAAACAGATTATAAAGATACTGTGTACTGAATAGGAAAACTTGCATACATTGTATAAATGTCATAGTTTGATACAGACACAACATCAGCAAAATGATCTGCTCTTTCTTTTGCCTGAAACAGTTAGCAATCCCAAAGTACACCAATAATAAAAGAGAGAGTTGCAATTATTGGTAAAATACCAAGCACAAGTCAAACTCATCTATCAACAATATTTTTATATTGTTTCTTCACAACAGCAAACCATTGTGTGAGGCAATAAGTTTGGAGTACCTGTCAGACGATATTGAACAGAACTCTTTTGGGAGGCTTCATTCCCTACCTACTTACACGTTTACTGGTTGCCAGGCAGGCCACTGTGCTTTCGCCTTGATGACAGTTAAAACCTCATCACTCTGCAAAGGGAGACAAAAACAAAACAAAACAAAACCAATCAACAGTTATTGGGACAATTTTATTATGAGAGTAACATTCCTCAATGATTTATAGCACCAAGATGAGGCACTTGGAGCCAAGCAGTGTCTCAGCATTTGGATGAAGAGGCATGTACCTTACTCTCTGTGATGTTTGGGAGGTGCGTTCTCTGCTACTCTGGGTGAGGAAGAGAGCAGCCAAGAAGGTATGGGAGCTTCCCAGAGAGGAACCACGTTAGTATCCAACCACTGCCACACTCACATCACATCAGTGCCTCTTCCACTTATACTGCAACTGAACTCAGCAGAAGGGGTTGGGCGCACACTGCAGCATGGCTTGTTACATTTAGTTTCCCTTTATGAGTGCTGCAATTTATGGTATGAGAAGAATTGTGACTTACTGCTGTCTCCAGCAATAATTAATTTCTCTTCCACCAAGGTCTTGGCTGTCTATATGGCACAAGCCAAGCCAAAGACAGTGTGACATAAAAGGGTTTGGGGAGATGGTACAGTGAGAAAAGCCATAAGACGGCTCTGTAATTCCCACAGAGCTCATGGAGATAGCAGAATGTGGCCAGTCCTGCTTCCTAGAGGAAGTGTGATAAGGCAAGAGTCTTCTGAAAACTCTGGAGGGCTTTATTGTTGCTCTGTGGGAAGGGGTACACTTGACACTTCCTGAGGAACAAAACCCAAATACTGTCCTTTGTAGGCTCTAGCAATGGACATGGACAGCACTGGGGAAGAAAAATAGGATCAGCAACCCATGAGCTGGGATGAATGTCTTCAAAATGGTACAGTAAAACAGGGTAGAACTGAGGCAAAGAATTTTCTCTTGAGGACCAACCCTAAACAATGGCACACCCCGCAAAGCTGCTTATAATCAGCGACACAAGCAAAATCACCAGCATTTCCTATCCACAGGATTTAATGTTACATCAACAATCCATAACCGATGCACTGCAATCTCCTTTAAATGCAACTTTTAATAGCCACTTTCCCTGCTTCCCCCTCACACACATAAAAATGAAAGGATGTATGTAACGCACCTGTAGAAACTCAGAGAGTGGCTAAGCACTGTAGAAAGATTTTTTCCTCCCTTAAAGCCTATAAGGATCCCTGCATCAGCAGTTTTAAAATTTATATGCAGCGTAATAAACCCTGAACAAAAACAGCAGACTGTTTTAACAAGGCTCTGGTGCACAGAAGACATCTATCAAGTGTTTCTTAGAGCCTTTTCCCATCTCCCTGAGGATTCCTTCCCAGTAATTTGTTTAAAGTAATACAGAGTTCACAACTCACTCACATGATCTCTGCAGCCTTTTAAAAATATTTCCCAATTAAGCTAAGAAACCCATCCCATACATTACTAGTAATTGGCAGTTCCAACAGAGCTGTCCTTTCGTTCAGTGCTAATCTTCCTGCCTCCCCCTTGATAGCAATGGCTCTGATACCTCAGGCTAGTTCTAATCCATATATGCCCCACTTTAGGGAAATCAATTTTCACTGGTCATTTCTACCAGTGCCATTATTTTTCAACTCCTTCTTTTTACCAAAGTAAAGCAATTATAGCCCTGATGTGCCCTATCCATAACATGGAAGCATCTCAGACTTGGGTGCTCATCCATGACATGATCTCTTCCTCATCCTGAGAGAGCAGCTTGAAGTAATCCATTTTTTATGAAGGGATAATTTGTGGCTGCTGTTAGGACAGATGCTTGGTGAGATTCAGAGCTGCATTAAATTCAATAGAGCTGTGCTGAACTACATCAATTGAGAGTTTGGATCCATGTGCTTAAATCAATATCAAGAATAACCATTCTCATATTATTAGTGGGGTCGGGGTAAGGAAAATAGTGCTGTGAAGGGGAAGATCACACACAGCGTGCTGCCCAGGGCAACCAAGTTGTGTTGGGGAAATCTATGGGAGCTGGCTCTGGACAAGACCACGGTGCTTCAGCAGTCTGATTTGCTGCTCTTGCTTTTGTCATTCTGCTTCTCCCCTCATGTTTGGGCAGTACGGAAATGAGCTCTGCATCATTCAGTGAATCCAGTATAAACTTAGCATTGCCATTGTGTCTTGAGCTGTCTGTGCTTTTGGATGAGGGAAAGACAGTATTTTACCCAAAGAAATTAAAAATAAATGAATGGCAGAAACAGACCAAACCAAGAAAGTTAAAATGTGCCTGATACTCACTTCAGTCTCCCTCTTTCTTCTCTAGTCTCCCTGGGCACAACTTGCTCTACGGATGGAATAAATCCTGAATGCTATCTGAATTCTGGCTTCCCTTTTTCCTTTCGGCTGTATTGCTTCAACACCTCAACATCTTTATGCTTTTTAAATATGTATATTTTCATTACATACCCTCAGAACACTTTGCATTGACTGAAAGGATTAAGCATGTATTATACACACCAAAGGGAGCTTGACTCTTATTACTTAAAAATGCCTGTTTATACAGACACTGTGTGTCTGAGTATGGTGACTTATTTACTTAATAAAAATCAACAGCTACTCCAGGCCCATCCAGGTCCCTTCACATAAGGAAGTGCTTATGGCATATGCTGTGCTATGCAAATTTAAAATGCGCTCTAGGAACCATTTTTCAAAGTGTAATAATATCAATAGCCACTTACTGCTGAAAGTGGAGAGAGGGAGACCTGAATCAGACTGCCATTTGGATTCACGCATTCTTGGACTTTTGAGTAAAGTCAGACTCCAACTGGGATCCGAACATCAATGCCAGTACACCCCTCTTTATCATAGCCAATTCTCAGATCAGAAAGGTTTGAAATCCAGATACAAATTAAGTAGGATTAGACTATAATATAATATAAAGGCAGCTCTGTTATTTCATATAATCATTTGCTAGATTTCATTCTTATGTATGGATACTGAATAATGTCAATGTTAAAACAGTGCATAGAGACATTTCTGATTACTCAGAAAATGGATGATTTTTAACTTACTGTGAGCTTATTAAATATATATTTTAATAGTCTTTTCACAGAGAGCCTACACACTAAAAAGTCACCCAGGAATAGTTTTTTCCCCCCCCAGGGGAAAAGGCGCCACAGGGAAAAGAGTAATTTCTGAACACACTGTTGCATTTTCTGTCTGCAAACTAAAATCAATATAACATCTGCAGCATACAAATACAACTCAAGTGACTATCTTTCAAAAGGCAGAAATGTCCTTATCTTTACATATTCAAATGTAACACACACACACACACACACACACACACACACAAAAGTGTGGATGAAAGCCAAGATGGTAGATGAAATCACCATCTTGGCTGACTTGCAGGGCCCACAGTTAAAAGCAGAAACCTCTACAGCTTGAGCTGAAGAGTTAGTTTTCTAATGCAGTTATTAACTGGGCACAGAACAGAACTCAGAATGCATACCATCCCTATGGGTTACATGCATGTATATCTGTGATGGATTACAAATCTTTGTCTGCCTCCTTTTCCATCCACAGAAAGTATGTGCATAGTGGCAATCCAAGCCAGACATTGTACATTTTTTGATAAAGATACAAAATCTGAGTTTAAAATCAGCAAGTGAACAGCCAACCATTTTCAGCTGAAAGTAGGATTCTCTCGCACCAATGTTTAATAGGCTGTCCTGTACTAACCGAGTGCAAAGACCATAGAAGCACTGTAAAATATATGTATTCTTTATTTCAAGGAGTTCAGTCAAACTTTTCCTCTGGGTTTGCTTCCTATCATTTGTAATGATGTTCTCTCTGCATTGCCAACATTTTGCTTTGATAGTTACAGTCATAGAAATTCTCAAGCTCAGGTAAAAGAAACAGTATGTTTCACTACTGTAGTCTTATGTAGAGTTTACAGTAGTCTTATGTAGAGTTTAGATTATGGTTATATGGGATGGTTTGGATAGGGATGATCCTGCGTCAGGCAGGGGATTAGACTAGATGACCTCTGGAGGTCCCTTCCAGCCCTACCTCTCTGTGATTCTGTTATAAATGCTGTAGAGTGCCTAGCCATAATGTTCATGTTTGAATGGAAAGTGATGATACTAATGACTAACTGCTAAATTTCTTTACATGGAAACCAGATTATCTCCACCATAGAGAGAGAGAAAATGCAACAGTGTCTAGCTAGTGAAGAGAAAGGAAAGTGGAAGGAAGAGAAAATGCTTCAAAGCCCTTCCAGAATGTCTTCAAGCTAAAACTACATCAGCTAAAAACTAATCAAAAGAAAAAATTGGCAGCCCTGTCTCACACTTCTCTGTAGTCATGTCTATACAAGATGCTTACTATGCAGTAGCTCATTGCTACTGTACTACTAGACACTACTGTACAGTAACACCAGTTACTGTGCAGTCATTTAGTACTTGGGTATGCAAGTACTAAATGACTGTGCAGTAACAACTGTGTAGTCAGCATCTCATGTAAATGTGGCCTGTATGTAGGAAGCAAATATAAGAGTGGATTTGGGGTTGTTAATCACATAATTTGAAATGAAATCTCCTTAGGTTTTTAGTCCTCCATTCTTGAAAGTACTTAAGCATTTGCCTCACTGTAACAGAGCAGTGGGCACATCTACACATGCAAATGCTCCAGTGTGGGTTTACTCTAGATTAATTTACTTTAGAGTAAACCCACCCCGGGCAGGCATCTACACGTGCAAGGGACTAGGACCAAATTTGATGCTCATGGCAGCAGTCTGCTCTCACCCGCACTGGCCTTGCACCGCCCCCCTGCAGCAGTCAGGGGGATTTCTACATGGGCTCTAGCCTAGGGGCTGGCAGTGAGAACAGGGTCTCCTGAGCTAGGAGACAGCTGTCTCCTGGCCCCTGCCCCCAGGAGCTGCATGCTACCATGGCAGGCTCCACCACTGGAGCTCAGGTGATTGCAGAGCTGGGGCAAGGAGATAAGAATCTCCCAAGCCCCACTCTGTGATCACAATCACATACCAAGAGCTGGGAGATCCCTGGTGCCAGGACAGGGGGACATT